AGAGAGAGAGAGAGAGAGAGAGAGAGAGAGAGAGAGAGAGAGAGAGAGAGAGAGAGAGAGAGAGAGAGAGAGAGAGAGAGAAAGAATGTTTAAAAACAAACGTATTATTTTTAGTAAGGGAATGCAAATCTTTACTTTAGAGGCAAGTAAACCAATAATACTGATAGCTTTAATTAAATTCGCATCATCCAACTCGCAGAAACTTTCCTTTTGTTTGGTTTTCAAGCCTTACATGGAGGAAGCGGAAAGCCACAGAGACAATCGTTGCCTTCGAAATCACTGGTATAAAACCTCCCTGGTGGAAGTTTTGGAAGTTCTCCACAGAGATGGTTGTCTCTCACATTTAATTCCTCGAGGCTGGCCACACTCGGTGGTACTCTCCCATATATCAAGTTCGTTGACAGAACAAGCTTGTCAAGCCTCTCAGGGATTTTAACTTTTCCAAAATCAAATCGGAGTTTGTTCCCCGTTGCGTGGAACTCCCAAAGATTCTCCGCCTGATTCAAGAACCTTACTGGACTCCCTGATATGTCGTTCCACGAAATATCTACATATTGTAGACGAGTCAATTTGGATAGTGAATTAGGGAATGGACCAGTAAACCGGTTTCCTGGGATTTGAAACCCGGTTAACTTTATTAGGGAACCGATTTTTTTAACCGGAAGTGGACCGGAGAGACCGACAGAGTCGAGAATAAGGTTGTCTAGTTTTGGTAACTGGAAAAGGAACTGTGGAGACGGTCCGGTGACGTTTTTGAGATTAACTAACGTAATGTCGCTGAGGTGTTGGAGTTTGGCTAGAGACGGTGAGATTGTGCCGGAGAGGAAGTTTCTAGAACCATCTGAATCGAATGGAATCTCGATAAAGATTCTGTAGACCCTTTTGTTGAAGCAAAAGATTGAGTTCCATGAACAGCAATCAGTTCCTTTCTTCCATGTACTGAGAATACCCGAAGGATCTTCAGTTATACCTGATTTGAAAGCTAGAAGACCGGCCTCGTCATCAGGGTGACACGTGGCAGCTCTAGTGGGGTTTAGAAAATAAAGAAAGATACAGGCGGCAAAAATGAAGAGGGAGGAGGAGTTCATGATTGGAATATAGCTGTGTTGTTTTGGTTTGGTGGGAGTGAGAGAAGCAATTTCGAAAGGTTTCTATTTATAGAGAAACTCGAGTTGTGACCTGCGCCTCCAAGTTACGATATGGATTTGCATGCATGTGACCAGATCCGAAAGAACTTGTTCTACTTTATCACTAAAACCGAACAAAAAGTTTCATCAGATTCTTTTTCTTTTTGATTATTATACTGCATGCAACTCGTTTAATTCCATGGTTTTCAAAATAAGACCATAGAATATTACAGAATAATGTCTTCCTAGTTTGACCAAGATCCGGGATCTGCATGAGGTGAATAATAATTTAATATAGTACTACAAAAATAATTAAAATATAATATAACAAAACGTGATGAAAATAATGTCGGTGTTTTTTAAATTAAATGTTTTTATACTGTAAAGCCTATATTTTACATGCTATTATCTTGTTAGACACATCCTCTCCTATATATATATATATATATATATAATATTTATGTAAATATTAAATTTTATACCAAGATTTTCTTTGTAACAGAAGTTACACACAAAAAAACTAGTAAGAGATCATACTGAAAATACTAAACAAGCAGAATAGAGGAGAAAAGATAATACTGAGAAATTATAGAAGAAATTATAACCCTGCAATTATAGAGGATAATATAATTTGTTTATTAATAGTTGTTTTACAAATAGTTTTCATAAAACATACACTATGGTCCTTGTATATTTATAAGTTTATAACAGTCACGGTTTCTAAGAGCATCTCCAAAAACAAACTCTATTTAAAAGTTTCACAAATTCTATATTTGAAGTTTCAAAGTGTTCTTTTTTAAAAGAAAAACTTAAAAACTAACTTAAATTTTTTTGTATATTACATTATGGTCCTTATATTTGTCACAATTAATAAATATGTATAAAACTTTTATAAATAGCAAACACATACAGTAGAACCTCTATAAATTAATACTCGATAAATTAATAATCTCTATAAATTAATAAATTTCACCGGTCCCAACTTGGACCGGTGTAAATTATGACACAAATCAATAAAATAATAAGATAATAATATTTTTAAAACTGCCATGTAAATATATGGTCCCATTAAAATCATAAATTAATAATCTAGCTGTATATAATTTTATATAGGTACAATCTAACATTATATTGTTGGTTTTATATTTACTACAAAAATAATTTTATTTTTCTAAATATTTTAATAGATTTTGATAATATTTAGTTAGGGGTTTTATATTTACTATAAAAAATACTTTTATTTTTAAAACATTTCAATATATTTTGATAGTATTTAGTTAAATTATATCGAAAACCATGTAATGATTCTATGTAACATAAAAATATACACCAACTAAGATAATAAAACAGTATAAAAGTCAAATTTCTAATATTTAAATAATATACATATGCTAAAATCAAATATTTTTTTCTTTTAAAAATAAAATTAGAGAAAATACAAAGAAGTATATATAAATAAGGAAACTTTTGTAAATTAATATCTCTATTAACTAATAAGTTTTCAAAGTCCCAACATTATTAATTTATAGAGGTTTTACTGTATATAAAAATATTCAACAATATCAATTAATAATGTTTACTTGAAAATATAAAACTAGAAATAAAAATACATAATTAAATATTAAAATACAAACAAAATACCACATTATTCCATAAAATTATTTCCGTAATGCTCTCATATGTGATCAACTAGTGCATTTCGAAGTAAGAAATGATTCTCTTTATTTTAAATTTGTAAATTACGAGCTAAAAGTTGTTGAAAACGGATATCTTCATTTTCTGCCATAAAAAGTGTTATTGTAATATTTAAATTTGTATAATAATTATGTTTTCATGTACCTTTTAAAAAGAATAATTTTACTTAAGTTTGTTTTGTAATATTCTTGTTGTCTATTTCTACTTTTAAAATAATATAAATTTTATTTTAATTTTTATATAATCTTATGTGTAAAATTTAATTTACAGAAATAAATTTGAAAATTTGTGAGATATAATGTTTTCTAAAAATTAAAATGATAAATAAGAAAATACTTAAGAATTATAAATAAGATATGTAAATATAAGGATTAAATTGCAAATAAAAAATGAAACTTCAAATATGAAGTTTTGAAAAGTGAAATTTCAAATATGATGTGGTTCATTGAAAAACTAGATGACTACCCTTTTTTTACGGACAGCATTTTTCGTTTCATCTTTTCTTTTTATAGAAAACTTAAGATCTTTATATACAGTCATTAACAATTAGATGACTGGATACAATAGAAATATTCCATAAGAAAAAAAGAACAGAATAATTAAGAAGAGAAATAAACATGGCGAAACGTGGAAATGTCGTTGCTTTCATCTCTCTTTTGATGATTTTCTTGTTGGTTTTGACAGGTAATACATATTTTGACAAATGAATTTCACAAAAGCTTTATATATTGTTTCTTTAAGAAAATAATATTTCCTTGTCGTATTTTTAAAGATGTTGAAGGTTTTTCTCTTTCGTTTCCTACACTCAAACATAATTTATCATCTACCAATAAAAAATCCAGGAAATAAATGGTCGCGTACTTTGTAATCCGGCTCAACATTTTTTTTAGGCCCCTGGTCAAATTTTTTTTTTTTTGATTTTTACTATTTATATTTATTAAAAAATTAAATGTTTTTAAAAAAATTTAACATCAACATCTTTAAAAAATTTGTTATGAAAATAAATTATGTATATGTAAAATATTTTAGAACCCCTAATCAACGAAAATTTGTAAATATTTAAAATTTTTTATATAAAAATATGTATATATAAAAAATATTAGATCCCTTAATTAGTAAAATCGGGGGGACACGGGTTTGGACCCGGGGAGGTTGCACCGTTTGTCCCCCATGTAAGCCAACCCTGTTTTACAATATTATGGAAAATAAACTTCAACATCAATTAAGAGCAAACCGAAGAAGTATTAAATTGTGTTTAGCTTCTTTTTCCAGAACCACATAACGTCAAGAAATGTAAACAAAACTCATTAGCAACTATAACTTACCAACACAAACCTTTTTTGGAATTTGCAGTTTTCGTTAGAGCATTAGAAATGGTACTTTACTTTTCCTTCTAAACATCAAAATATAGAATAGAAATCATTCCGATGATACACCAAATATTATACTAGATATAGAGGAATAAACAGTATTATGTCAATATAGAGTAACACTAATCATTTATTCTATAGAGTAAAACTAATCATTTATTCTATTTTTGAAGTTGATTTTTTTTTCTATAAAATGGTCTATAACTTTTACAAGTTTTCATATTCTACCTTAATAAAATCATTTATTATAGCTTTATACTTTTAAATATCATTAAATTTATCAAATTAATTATTAAATTGCCGATACTTTAAATGCACTAATAATTTATATTAAATTAAAAATACAACAACATAATAATTAATAAACTAAAATACATAATCCATAATAAAAATACAAAAGATTCAAACTAATGTCATTTGTTTTTTTATTTAAGTGTTAGAATAATATTTTCGTTTTAAAATAATCTTAAGATTTATTAATATTGCAATTGTATTGTGTTATTGCTGCAATGTTAAATATAAAGGTAAAATTTAAACATTTCAAAATTTATAAATTAAATAATAAATTAAAAAATCAATTAAAATAATATATTAAAAAAATTATTTATAGAGTAAAAAAATAGAGATAACCATTGGAGCAACACTTTCTTCTATTTTTAAAGTATTCTATATTTGAAATAAAAAAATAGAAACAACCATAAAAATAGAGACTACCATTGAAGATAGTCTTACAAACTTGATTTCACAAACATATAATTAACATCTAAACTTCTAAGTATAAGATTTTGTTTTGAACTTTATACACACAAAAACTAGGTAACAAATGAAAAACAAAAAAAATTATATGATTTATTGAATAAAAAATATTTCTTTTCCGTGAGACCTACTTGAAACTAAATTATGTATATTATTAAAAAAGGGGATTTTACTGATTCTTCATTATTGACTCCGTTATGTACAGCAGAAGCTCAGGTGAGAACTAAGTATACTAAAGCCAAGAGTGCGCCGACTGAAGTCTGTTTGGATCGTAATTCTGGTGATGTTGTATGCACTCAGTATTGCGTTACAGAAACAAATCCGAAAAGATGTTATGGAAAATGTTTCCCTTATAAAAATTCAGGAAGGAAGGAATGCTACTGTCATCCATGCTAATAAATGACAACTAGGATAAGACCCGCACCTTGCGCGGGATGAAACTATTATATTTATTATGTTTTGAAAAATGAAACAATAGTTCAGTTTCATTCGGATTAGAGGTGTTCAATTCGGATATCGGGTTTCGGTTCGGCTCGATTTTTTGGTATTTCGATCATTAAAATATAACTACTATTCTAAATCTATATGTATTTCAGTTTAATTTGGTTTTATGTACCATCGGTTTTCAGTTTATTCAATTTTATACCAAAAAACATAATTATTTAGTTTGAGATCATATTATATATATTATAAATATATAATATGATCATATTTAGAGTCATATTGTCACAGAGTCATTTATTAAAAAAATATTATATATTTAAATAAAAGAATACAAAAAACAAAAAAACTTCTATCATCTGATAAAATGATCAAATTTAGAATTAATATCAAAACACTAAATTTTAAAAATAAAAATAAAAAACAAAACAGAAGCATGAAAGAAAAGTTTTTATATTCTTCCATATTTAGTGTTCATCAAACCAATATGTCTTCGATTGAACACAACTTTGTTTGTTTAAAGATAAAAAAATTGTAAAGAATTTCAACTAATTGTTGTCCATCAAATTTATAATCTCTACTTCATTTTATTTACTATTAAAAAGGCAAAAGATCAAAATAAGAAGTCTCAGTTATAATAAATTGTTAACTATTTACAAATTATAATTATAGTTCAACTCATGTAACAAATAGATTTTC